GATAAGGCCCAACCACCAAGAAATATCCAGTCTTATCTTTTGCTTAAAAGTAAATAAATGAAAGTGTTAGATTTTTTTTTTTTAAATTTTTTCTTATATTCTAAAAAGACCATTTTCACCTTAGTTTCAGCTGGAGAAATATTGGAGAACGCAATTGGTTTTGCTAGTGCTAAAATACTCAAAATTTTGTTTGTTCCTATAGCATAGTTTTTTAATGAGGAAAACATCAAAATCTTCATCAAATGACCATATAATTGTAATTATTCCTATTGGTCATAATTAAAATGTGCTTTCTTCTGTTTTGTTTCCCATATATAAAAACACAAACATAAATACTACGAAGAATTTAGGTAAACAATTGAAAATATTATGCTTAACAAATTTGCTAAAATAATAAGAATCAAATGTCCTTTATCTATTAAAGGTAGACAACTAAATAGGTAGGTAATTTCATTATAACATGTATATTTTTACTCTCTAATTTTGCTATGCTATCGAGATGGTGGATAATCAATTTCTATGAAAAAAAAAGGCATTGGATGAAAAGAAAAAAAAAATGGATTAAGAGAGGGTATAACTTTAGGGGGAGGGTTGGGTTGAGTAGTACGGGGAAAGGGAGCGTAAGTGAGAGGTCTCGAATTCTACTAGTTCTCCTACTTATGTTGAAAAAAAAAAAAAAAAAGAGGGGATATAACTTTCAAAAGGGAAAAAAAAAAAAAAAGAATAAAAGAATAAAAATCTTCCACGAGGAAAAAGAAATTTAAAAAAATGAAGACAAGAGTATTCACTATTCAGCTAACCGGGGCACGTACTCCGGTCTCCAACTGTCCATTAACTGTACAAGCCCGTGTTTGGCTTTTCACAAAAGGAAACTTGGGTATTCTGCCCAGAAATCTTCTGCAATCGCGAAAATGGCAGAAGGTAAATCATCACAAGAAGCACCTTCTCCTCCTGCTGATGCTCAGCTCTTTGGTCTCCTGTCCAGTCTCCTCCAACAGGTATCTGCATTCTACACGGAACTTGGAATTAATAATTTCTTGGGATTTAAAGATTCCTTATCTGAGTTCGGGTAGATAGATAGATTTCTTTATGGGATTTTTTTGGTCAACGTCAATTTTAAGTTCTTTTATTGGTTTTTCTTGATTGCTTGATTCTGGATTTTTCTGAATAGGCTCTGTTGTCATTTTTCCTTTTTCCTTTTCTGTTTGTGTAATCAAGATTTTTTCGTTTTTGTACGTCTTGGATGTATATTCTTTTTCCGAGCTTTTAGGAGGGGAGGAGAAGGGAGGAAATGAGACATTGAGGATTGAATCCTGCATGTAAGTCGAATAACTTAAAAGAAGGAGATGATGTGTTTGGTTCCTTGAGAGAATTTCAGTTGATGTGAAAATGGAAAAGTATTTTGTAGGAAAATAGGGCCTATCATACTTGGAACTGGAATTTGAATTGTATACTACAAAATTTTAGCTCAATTTTAGTAGAATGTGAATCCAATTCCAGCTCCAATTCTAATTTGATTCTTAGCTGCCCTTGTTGGTTGATATCCCTTCAGCTGGTGATGTAGATAGTTAGTATAGTGCTTTATTAAGTTCTTCCTTGAGAAAAAAGATAAAAATAAGTTCTTGATTCATTTAAGATGACTATTAGTCTTTTAAACACAGCTCATCCAAAACAGAAGATATTTTCTGAATAAATTCCCCGTGTCACCTTATGCTGCCATTCATGCTTTGAATTTGGAGTGCTGTCCAAAGACTCAGTTAGGAATGGATTTATGGGCATGATTTTTGAAATTGTCACGTCTGTAGTTTTTCACTATGGAGGAAAGTGTGTTTGATGCCGCTCTAGCCATATGTTGTATACCCACACAAGTGTTTCTTTTTACTTCTCCAACACTGCCATTGATCCAAAGTCTATCAGTAAGTTTCTGGTTAGATATGTAACTTGTATAAAACTACTGTATAGAAAGAATATTTGAAGAACGAGTTACTATGTTCTCTAGTCTCTACATTTTAACAAGGCACACAAATTAGAAGTGGGAACTAGCACTGGTTTCTTCATTCTATTTTTGCTTCCTCAGCACTCAATTTTCTGATACAGACAAGACCAAGATTGAAAATGATATTGAGCAATCAACCAAAGTAGGTGCACCTAGGAAGGTTAGATCTCTAAGTACTTATTTTGTCAAGTGATGTTGAAGGGTTCACCTTTCTTACAAATGTGATCTTTTATGGGTGTCTTTCTGATCGAGTAGAACGGTTTAGGAATCCTGTAGGCCAGCAAGGCAACAGTGAGTTTGTTTGCATATTCTATTTGATGGGAAGGTATTAGCAGCCCTTTCGTTGGTAATCTACATGTAAAATGGTAAACGAAAGAAAATGTGTTGATTTGTTGCATTGCTGGATGGATATCTGTAGTGTGCCTCACGTTGAGAAATGCTGTTTTGGTGGCTAGATTTCTCTCGAGCTTAAGGAGCAATTTTTGCAATTCACATATTACTTGACTCTCCCATTACTGGAGTTTGCAGAGTCTGTTTTATTGTTGTAGTAAGCTTAATGGGGACACATTTTGGGGAACGTATACATTGTTGAGATGGTCTTTTAAGTGAAACGAAAAGAAGCAAAGCCTGACAGGAGCTGCACTTTTCTATTTAACTTAGGGAGCTATACTTCACAAAGGACTGGGAGGTTATAGCTTGGTTCAGATTGTGCTCTTGTTGAATTATTGGGACTGATAGAGAAAGAAGCGATATCCTGCAAAGAACTTAGCTATTTCTGCCCTTTCATACTATACGTTCTTTTTCTGCACATACTGCATCCAGCTTAGCCTTCAACATTTTTGACTTTAGCACTTCTTCTGCTTCTTGGTAATTCGGGTAAACACTTGACATTTCCAAGTATGGATATGCTTAATAGTACTTATTTTCGGATTGGTTATTGGGTGCTACCAGGTTTGAGTAGCACTTTGGACTTTAAGGTCTAAAATCTCCAATTTGGTGAAGGAGGGTACTGAGATATAAATATTTGTAATTGCCATTGCTGTAATTATTAACTGATTCAAAGGTATATGTTGTAGTGAAGATTGAAGAGGCATTATGTTCCTATCTGCAGGTTCAGGGTTTTATGTGCAAAAGTTTAAACCAAGAACTTCTTTTTTGCAGGGTATACATAGGTTTTCAGTCACAAGTATATAGAAATTTAAAATGTTATCGATTGTTTTACTGTCCATCCATGACCTGCATAGCTTTGATACCTTAACCAAAATTCACTTCTTTATTGGAGTAAGGTAGGAATTATTTTATTATTAAATTGGTTTGAATGAAAGTATGAGCCCAAAATTCATACCTTTAAAGCCATTTTGCATCTTAGAAATGGTTCCTTTGGGTTACTAAAGTGATTTAATGACCATCCAACAACCCCATCCCCATCTGAAGGAAGGTTATAAATATGAAAAGAAGCTGGTCTATTGCTTCATCTTGACAAGAAGAAGAGAGAGATTGGGAGGGAAGTGAGGTGCAACCCGTTATTGCTGGCTAAAATATCTGATTAAGAATCCTGCTATGGATCACCACCATTTTTTTCTCCTCTTGTAGCTCATGATTAGCTAGCCAGCTCTTTGAGAAGTTCTTAACCAAGGGTGTATACCATAATAAACCTTTTCTTCTGTGTAGGATGTGTTTGAGAACAACTTTTTAGGAAGGATAAAACCATACATAAGTAAAAATTGCTTCAACAAATTTTACTAACTCATGACTCAAATTCAGATGCAGCATACTAAGATGCCTTTGACTGTTATTGGGTCATAATCTCTTCCTACCTAATTTGTTTCTTGACATTTCAGTTGGTAAACTGTGTTAGCACAGTTTATTTGTGAGTTGGGCACTTCTCTTTTGGTAATGGGATTCAGCTGAGATGTATTCTGTTCTGTCTAAGATCATTAATGACAAACTTTTACAGGTTGAATCATTAACCAATCAAGAGGAAGTAGAATTACGTGCCAAGATTGAAGCCTTGGGATCGGAGGTTACTAAAGTCCCTTCAAAATCTGCGCAAGATCTTGATGAGGTAGTCTTTAAGGCCGTTTTCCAGCCAACTAAATGCTTTGAAGACAAGATTGATTGTTTCACAGCTCTCAGCAGTATGCTTTTACTGTTTTATTCACCTCTGTTGGTTTATTGTGTTTTTATTTAGATTGAAATAGCAAAGGAGCTGGATAAACTGTCCTCAAAACTGGATGATGTTGACAAGATGATATCCTCAGATCCAGAGGTGCGATCTCTCCTGAGTAGTACAGCTGATGTGTGGATGCCAGTCATCACAGCAAATTCCAATGAAAGACGTAATTTTACAGCTACTTTTGCAGATGATAATCATGAAGTGCAAGGAAAAGATTCCAAATAGATTTGTAATTTAGATTGTTGTTTTAATATTTTGGTAGAAAATTGTATAACTCTTTGAGAAATTTTAATTTTATTAATTACCTTGTTAATTAGAAGAGATAGTAAACATCCCCCATCCCACGAAAGGTTGTGGCATGGTGCATTTCAATTTTCAGCAACGGGTATTACATGGTTCTTATTCTTGTTGCTTGGGCATTTCCATCCTTCAGAGAGAAGCCCCCTTGCTACACTTGGTTCACTTAATCATGCTTATCGGCAACTTAAATCATGACGAATAAACAAAATGATGACGAGTGTATTGGGTAAGCTGGGTAGGGAATGCTTTCCAATTTCACAAAAACTGGTGAGGAATAGGAAAGGGTGACTGTTCTAGTTATTGAAGATTAAAGAGGGATTGAAGTGGCAGTGGTAGAGTTCTCTGTGTGATAATGGCAACTCATATTCAATCTGATCTAGATCCCTGATGTTTTTGACCAGAAAAAATGGTGGCATGAAATGAGCACTGCTGAAGAAAAGAATTATCAGAACATGCTGAGAAGCTAAGAGTAAAAGGGGGCTTTCATCAGTGGTCTGGTTGAAGAAGTAAACTTTTGATGCTTCAATGCCAGCCAAAGTCTCCAGAGTGAATTGCATTACACTTTGCGAATATGAACAGCTTGTTAAAGGGATTCTATGATTTCATGCTTGGAAATAGAACATATTGGATTCCACATGCGATGGTCAAGAAAAGTGAACCTAGCTATTGAACAAAGTTGCCTACAGAGAGTACAAATTTGATGTCATTTGGATGGAGGTGCACGGACAGATAGACCAATGAGCCACAGTACAATAGATCCAATGATCCAACATAGAACGAAAAATACAAGGAAACCAGCCAAAATGGTCAGGAATGGAGGGCCTTGGGCAGTTTCGCCATTCTTCCTATCAGATCCTTCTGAGGAATTTGTCTTTGATGCACACGTAGGAAGTAATTTCAATGTTACAGAATTCTTCAACCTGAATACAGTTACAATGTAGCTAGTTACTGTTTCTGCAATATGATCAAATTTAGAAGAATATCAAGTAGACTAAAAGCATAGCAGGACACTTCTACAGAAAGCGAATTGAAAAACACTTATGCGCCTTAGTAACAGTTTTTTCAAGTCCTCCACCTCTTTCATACAAAAAAAATACTTAACTATATACTTATTGGCTATCAATCAACACTGAATGTTTAAATTGAAATATTTCAACTTTGCCCGAGAAATGGACCTGGAGAAACTGAAAAGAAGTGCGGAAGCTGCTAAATAGAACTGCTTTTAATCTACAATGAACCCTTGATACATAATAACTACGAGATATTGTTACATAAGTCCAACTCCTTGAATAACTCAAGAACACGCAATACAAACTCTTAAGTAGGCCACAGACACAATGCTGCCACAATTTATTCAAAAATCATAGCGTTTAAAAGGATTGTTCAAGATACTCAAAATTTCGACAGCATCCCACATCACTTTCCATCTTAATGTTGTATACACTAGCATGCTTGATCATTTTCAAAACCTCAGAACACAGCATGTCAACTTCACCCCCCAAAATTCCATGGTCTCTTGCTATTTATAGTTTGGGAGTGCATGAAACAGACTAATCAATTATCTAAAACAACCCAAGCTATTAATAACCTTCTCCATGGTATTTAATCACCAAAGTATGACCAATATTTTTGTTTCAGAATAACATACTCAGCATGAGAGAAGCAATATTTGGTATACATTGCATCAAAATTTGGCTCTCATTAGTCATCTGCAGCTACTGCTTTAGGTAATCCTTTGTTATCATTGTACCTCTACACAATGTTTCTTGAGCAAATTGCTTGATTCTATAACTTAACAGCTTCGCAAAGTAGAAAGATAATTGACACATATCTGCAATCAGATATGAGGTCAAATGTATCACCTCATACATATCAAAACTGAGCGTAAGGGCTATTTACTGAAATATCACTTGTTTCATTCAAAATAAGAGAAAAATAACATAAGTCTTCCAAAAACATGGAAGTTGATGTCTTGAAAATTGATTTTAAAGTCTGACTTATGAGAATCGACTTTAAGTTGACTTCCCAGAAATTGATGCGAACCCAAATCCTTCCTACTCCAGGTTCTCAAGAATAGCAGTGCTTCCCAGAATTCATGCATTCCAGTCCGTCCTTTGCTATAAGAACGTGACCTAATCTATCTCTCCTCCAACAAGATGGCAGGAGAAAAATTAAAGTGCCAGATTCTTGAATAAATCTAAATCAGTTGGCATTTTTCGGTTTCTTTCCTCTTAAAGAAAGACAGATGGACCAATTAGGAGGTAGAGGAGAGACAATTTCCCTGGTGCCTCTGCTTTCATTTTTTCAAGAACTCAAGCCCAAGTGCCCAGCCAGCTTAACCCCTTATCCTTAAAACCACATTTCCCACCATATAATCTAGCGAATTTATATGGTAACTTTAGGGTTAACAAATGCACCTTTTCACACTAAATCTCAGCTCAGGACCAGCCACACATTCTAAAAACAAAGCAGCAACGCATACACAAAGCACAGGCTAGAGTATTCCTGTCTAGTTACCCCACCAACAGGTTGATTTCGTCTAATCACAGTTTTTCTGTCAAAGATTACGCCTTTCCACTACATCCTCATATTGCACTTTTCTGCCTATTTTCAACATGATTTTGACTAGTATCCTCGTATTATATCCTACAAACAAAATTTTATTTTATTTGTTTTAAAAAAATTTTGTAGTATACTAAAAAAAGCCTTGAACTTTCACAAGACATACATGCATCTATTTCTTGAAACACAATAAAATAACTAAAATAAAAACTACCCAAATGGCATCAAATCTTCCCAAGTCAATATTTTTTAGAGTGACAGAAGTGCACCTGAAGTTGACATAGGTAGGTGGAGCATATTGACGAAAATGGAGGAAATGGATGCAGGGAACAGTATCGAATCTAACACTGGAGCAGTAGAAACCTCGAATAGATTTAGATAGTCGGGCAGAGCAATTCATTTTAGCGAAATGGATACGGAAAACTTTTGAGCTTGAAAAATGGGGCGAATTACTCAGATTATGGTCGAGAAAAAAAAAAATTCGGACATATACCGATCCGACAAGCTTCTAGTACAAATATCTATTGGTGCCGGACCACCCAAACTTCATCAAATATTTTTTTTTTTACTTTTGACACTGCTACAGCGGAAATTTTTTTTTTTTTAAAAAGCTGTCGGCTACCGGGCTGACGATGCCCGGTAGCCGACAAGGTCTAAAAAAAAGCTAGCTGTTGGGCAAAGAGAGCCCGGCAGCCAGTCAAATTGTTTTAAAAAAAAACAATTTGCCGAACTCGTTCTGAAGCATCAGTCACATTTGCATGCCCCTCCAGCTGTCTTGCAAGTAGCTAAATAAAAAGAAATCAAGAAAACAGCAAGGTTCATTAACCATACTCTTATAATATAATCATAACAGTAATGATGTCTTATCATATACACAAAAGCAGTAAGAAAAAAGAAATCTATCAGTTTATCATGCCTGCCCTTCTGCAGTTTTTGGCCAATGCAAACCTGGAAAGCTAGTGAATCAGCCAGCCAGACCTTTGGGGTTGGTGACTGATGCCGAATTCTCCATTCTCTGAATTGAACAATAGGTTACGTCTACGGTGGAAAGTTTACTATGGCAGCCAGTCTAATTTTTTAAAAAAATAAAAATTTGCTAACGCTCCATGAGGGCGGCCATTTCGGCTCGGCCAGTCTGAGGCCCTATCCTGTGTGGTCTCCTGAAACCCCACATCGGCAAGTTGAATACCAACGCGAATGCAACCTATTTTACCACTTCGGCTAAGAACTTCGGGTCATACGCCGAAATGACACCAGAATAATAAACAACTACTGAGGGCGGGAAAGGGCGTCTGACACAGGTCATTGGAATGATAAAAAGCTGCTCTGACACCTGCCCTCCGTATCTGACCACTGCCCTTATGCAGCTTCCCACACTGACCAGTCAGATCAACCTGATACGATGTCCTTGTCAAATCTCTGAGGACCTATGTTGACAGTTCCTCTCTCCCAATGGTACCCTATAAATACCCAACACCTCCATTGAGGAAGGGGAGGACCAATTTCTGGTAAAACTTTACTAAGTTCATCTTCTACCTTATTGCTTCTTTCAAGCCGAACTAGCTTAAGGTTCGGAATTACACCGGGGGATTCAGCCCCTCCGGCAATCTAAGCAGGTGACCTCGTCCTAGGAGCAGTCCCGGATAAAGATGCTTCTCCAGTTCGGAAGACTCGCTCCAGTAGGACGGAAATCACCTCTTCAATTGGCGCCGTCTGTGAGAAGGCGAAGACATCATAGTATGAAACCTACGCGTTTTAAGAGTAGAAAAGCTCTCACTATAGGTGCTGAGCAAAGCAATGCAGCTCAACAGGAAGATATTTCTGAAGGGCAGGAGTCCCCAAGGACTCAGCCCGCCAACGAAGAGGCCCTAACTTGTATGGCCGAATTTGTAACTGAGAACCCCAACATCTTTGAGGAGTTGGGGAGATATTTAAAGAGGCAAGGCAAGCAGAAGGCTGAATCCTCTAAAAGGAAGTTAGATGGATCTCCTGAAGGTTCATCTGAAGAGGAGTCTGATGGGAGGCGCCCAAGCCGGAGTGCGTCGAAACGAACGTTCTCCAAGGCCACCTCCAAGGTAGCCTCCCTGACTAAGGCCTTTTCCCGAGATCTCCTGGGGCGACGACCTGAGGAAGAATCTCGGCCCCTGGGAATACCCGGGGTGAATTATATGAGGGCCCCACCTTTTACTGATGACATTAATGAGGAAAGGCTTCCTCCAAACTTCAAGCTCCCCGCGATACCGTCTTATGACGGCCGAGATGATCCCGAGAATCACATTCACGCCTTCATCTCGGCCTTCCGCTTATACTGCATCCCTGACCCCGTCATTTGCCGGGCTTTCCCAGTATTCCTTCAGGGGACTGCTCGAAAATGGTTCTGAGAATTAGAACCTAGGAGCATCTCAACCCTAGGGGAATTAGTGGAGAGATTTCTCCATCGGTTCATCTCATTCCGACCTACGACCCGAACCTCGACTTACCTGCTGAACATGCAGCAGAACCCGGGAGAGTCACTTCGGTCGTACGTTCAGAGATTCCATGAAAAAGCGTGCAAATATCTGATCCCAATTAGCAGGTTACCATTGCCGCTTTTACCCATGGGCTCGTCTCCGGAGTGTTCAACACGGGGATTCACAAAAAATATCCCCGCACTCTCCACGAGCTGTGGTTAAAGGTCGAGAAGGGCATACAAGTTGAAGACCTCAACCGCATGAAGAAGGAGGTCCAAACCACCCGCTCAAGGGCTGACCCTTGAAGGGGGAAAGATGTTGGCCGAAGTGAAGCAGGGACGGGGAGTAGCTTCCAAAGTCCCAGCCGAGACCGCCGCAGCGTGTTCGACAGGATTTCCAAAGGGAAGACGTCCATCCCTGAGTCTGAGCTGACTCCTTTGAACACCACTAGATCCCCGGTGTTGTCCGTGATGGAACAGAGCAACCTCGGGAGGGCACCTCTTAAGATGTCCGGCAGCAGGGATAAAAGGAACTCGAACCTCTACTGCCTATATCATCGAGATATAGGGCACGAGACGGAGGACTGCAATGATCTCAAAAGGGAGATCGAGAACCTCATCAGGCAAGGACACCTCAAGCAGTTCATCCGCCGAAGTGGAGGTCATTCGCGCGACGAGAATCAACGTGACAAACGGGGTGACCAACGCCGGGATGAAAGACGAATTTTGAGAAGCAATTGCAGACCACCTGAGGATCCTAGAGAGACAAAGAGGCCTCCCCGAGATGGATCTTCGGGTCAAGGGTTAGGATATGGGGCCAACATTGCCGGAGTCATCAACACCATTGCCGGAGGTCCGACGGGAGGGGATAGTCAAAACTCCCGAAAGAGGACTTACAGGCAAGCTAACCCTAATCAGGTCGAGTCTAGCTCTCGCCTATCCGAGGTGATCTCCTACGGGCCCAGCGATCCTGTTCCAGCTGCTTCTAGTAGTCATGAAACTTTGGTGATTGAGGTGCTCACCAACAACTACATTGTGAAGAAGGTCTACATCGACCCAGGGAGTTCGGTGGATGTCAAGTACCTCCGCACCTTTGAGAGGCTTAAACTAGCAAGGGAGCACATGACCCCGGTGAGAACTCCTCTCGTAGGGTTCGGGGGACACATTGTGCATCCCGAGAGGATGGTGACTCTGACGGTAACCGTAAGGCGTCACTCCCGCTGCAGGACCATCCCCGTCAACTTTGTAATAGTTAAGGTCGATTCCCCGTACAATCTACTCTTAGGTCGGCCTGCGCTTAATGCTTTGCGAGCAGTATACTCTACCAACCACCTAAGTTTTAAGTTTCCTACTCCTGCGGGGGTGGTCGAGGTCAGCAGCGACATCTGCGCTGCCCGAGAGTGTTACCTCGCCACTCTACAAGCGGCCTCCCCATCAGCCTCCGAAACGAGACCCGAGAAGAGGTCAAATATCCTCTCAATAGATAGCATTGATCCTCAGTAAGTTGAGAAGATCCCGAGACTGGAGACTGGGGATGAGGTGGAAGAACTCCCTTTGGACCCCACGAAGCCTGATCAGACGATTCGTGTTGGCATCCGATTGCCAAGTCCGATTAAAAGAGGTATGGTGGATCTCCTCAGAGAATACCGGGACGTCTTCGCTTGGGCCGCAGAGGAGGTTCAAGGAGTCCCGCACCACCTCATGATACATGAGTTGAACGTCGACCCCCGAATCCGCCCGATCAAACAGAAAAGAAGGCACCTCGGCCCTGAGCGCAGTCGAGCTGTTGGTGAAGAAGTGGACAAGCTCCTCCCTGCGAAGATCATTCGGGAGGCTCAGTATCCGACCTGGTTGTTCAACCCGGTCATGGTAAAGAAGGACACCGGGGCTTGGAGAATGTGCGTCGACTTTACCGATCTCAACAAGGCCTGTCCCAAGAACTGCTACCCCTTGCCCAAAGTCGACACCCTCGTGGACTCGGCAATGGGTTATGAGGTCCTCTGCTTTCTCGACGCCTTCAAGGGGTACCACCAAATTGGAATGAGTCAGGAAGACCAAGAAAAAATGGCCTTCTACACTGATCGAGGAACATATTGTTACACCACCATGCCATTTGGGTTAAAGAATGTTGGGGCCACGTATCAACGTTTGGTCAACCAAGCCTTCAAATCCCAGATCGGACGAAATATCGAAGCCTACGTGGATGACATTTTACTCAAGAGCCAGACGACCTCTTCCTTCCTCTCTGACCTGAGAGAAGTCTTTGATGTCCTTCGGAAGACGCGGATGATGTTGAACCCCAAGAAATGTGTTTTCGGGGTCACTTCGGAGAAATTTCTGGGATACCTCGTTTCGAGACGAGGCATCGAAGCAAATCCGGATAAGGTGAGAGCGATTCAAGAAATGTCTCCACCTCGGTGTGTTTGCGATGTGCAGAGGCTGACAGGGCGGTTAGCCGCCCTGAACCGATTCCTATCGCAATTAGCTTCCAAGGCGTTACCCTTTTTCAAGGTCTTGAAGAAGGCTGACAGTTTCTCTTGGACCGAGGAATGTCAGCAGGTCTTCGAGAAATTGAAGGAGTACCTTCACCACCTCCCGACACTCACCTCACCTCAGCCAAGGGATAAGTTGTTTTTATATCTGTTTGCCGTGGTCGAGGCCGTTAGCACCGTGCTGGTCCGGGAAAAAGTTGTACAAGTTCTGATCTACTACGTCAGCCGAATTCTCAGAGGTCCGGAGACCAGATATACTCAAGCAGAGAAGCTCGTGCTGGCCTTGATCCACGCAGCCCGCCGTCTCAAGCCCTATTTCTTGGCTCACCACGTTTGTTTGAGAACTGACCAGCCCCTCAGACAAGTTCTATCACGTCCGGAAGCTTCCGGACGCCTTACCAAGTGGGCCATCGAGTTGGGGGAGTACGATTTATCTTACGAGCCTCGCACGGCAATCAAAGCTCAGGCTCTCGCGGACTTCCTTGCCGAACTTACTTTTGATGAGGCGAACGAAGCCATCCCAGCTACTACCCAGGTTACCACCTCGTCCACCGCCGAACATCAACGCTGGACCTTGCGTGTGGACGGTTCGTCCAATAGTGAGGGTAATGGAGCAGGCTTACTTCTCGAAGACCCCCAGGGAGAGGTGTGCTCATACGCCTTGAGATTCGACTTCGTCGCCTCTAATAATGAAGCCGAATACGAGGCTGTCATTGCCGGCCTGCAGCTAGCTCGTAAACTCGGGGCCTCGCATATCTTGGTCTATAGTGACTCTCAACTCATCGTGTGTCAAATATTAGGCGAATACGAGGCCAGGGAGGAGGTGATGCATCGTTACCTCTCCAAGGTCCTCCAGCTGGTGGCACACTTTGAGTCTTTTGAAATCCAAAAGATACCGCGGTCACAAAATAGGAGAGCTGATGCCCTCTCCCGACTCGCTTCTACCTCATTTTCTGACCTGAACAAGACGGTCCTCGTAGAGGTCCTAGCCAAGCCGGGGTACGAAGGAGAAGTAGTATACCCCGTTAACTCTGGGGACACCTGGATGGGGCCGTTAGTTCGCTTTCTCAGCCGAGATGAACTTCCCGAGGACCGAGCAGAGTCGAGGAAGTTTCAACGTAAAGCAGGTCGGTACACCCTTCGACAAGACCTCTTGTACAAGAGGTCTTACCTCGGCCCTTGGCTGCGGTGCATTACGTCGGAAGAAGGCGAAAGGATCCTACAAGACATACACGAGGGACTCTGTAGTGCTCACGTCGGCTACAGGATGCTCGTTAAGAAATCCTTATTACTTGGGTATTTCTGGCCCACCATGAGGGTAGATGCCCAAGTCATGGTCCTTAACTGCCCTTCTTGTCAGCACCACTCCCCTGAGCACCACCAGCCGACCAACCTCATGATCCCTATTACCTCGCCATAGCCCTTCGAGCAGTGGGGAACTGATATCATTGATCCATTCTCCAGGGTTCTAGGTAATTATGCCTACGTGGTTGCGGCCGTGGACTATTTCACCAAATGGGTTGAAGCCGAGTCTCTGAGAAGCATCACTGGAGCCGTTGTTCAAAAATTCTTTTGGAAGAGTGTGGTCTGTCGCTTCGGCCTGCCCCGGGTGGTCATCTCGGATAATGGCAGGCAATTCGCGGATAATCCTTTCAAGGCATGGTGTGAAAACTTGGAGATGAAACAGCATTTCACCTCGGTTGGACACCCTCAGGCAAATGGACAAGTTGAAAACTTCAATCGAACTCTCCTCCATGGCTTCAAGACCAGGCTCCTGGATCGTCGTGAATGGAAGAGCTCCCCAGCGTGCTGTGGTCCTACCGGACTACGCCGAGGTCAGCAACCCAAGAGACCCCGTTTTCCCTAACTTATGGGTCCGAGGCTGTCGTCCCAGCCGAATTCATCACTCCCAACCCGTGGATAGCTGCGTACACCGCTGAGGTCAACGAATAGGAGCGGCGAGTTGACCTCGACTTTGCCGAAGAGAAGCGCGATATGGCCGCAGCCAAGGTCGCCATTTATAAAAATATCCTAACTGGCTACTACAATGCCCGGGTCAAGCACTTGCGATTCAATCCGGGAGACCTCGTTCTTCGGAAGAACTCAGTCAGCCGAGCTGAACCTCAGGGAAAATTAAATCCCAAGTGGGAGGAACCATACCGTGTTGTCGAGTCCAGCCAAAATGGATATTGTAAATTGGCATATCGAGACGGGTCTCGGGTGCCCCGAACTTGGTATGCCGAAAATCTCAAAATGTATTACCCTTGAAGGGTACGTATTTTCAATCTTAAGTTTTAAGTTATTTCCCACTTAGTCTCATTCCATTACAAGTGAAAAATAAGGGGACAAAGCAGTAGTCAAGAGAAGAAAACTGAACTCAATCAAAAAGAAGGCAAAAATGTGCAAGAACAAAAAGTCAACTTTATTGAAGTGCGAAAGGAAAAAAATCGAGGTTATCTACGATCTCAGCCCTCTATTACAAAGCAAGTGCTTCTAAGCACTCCCTGCTCCAGGGTCCCGACCTCCCATGGTCTCCCCCCCCGCCTCGGCGCCTTGCTGACCTCCCATGGTTTCACCTTCCGCCTCGGCGTCTTGTTGTCCTTCAGCTCCCCTGCCGGCCTGGTTCCCTTTACTGCCCTCGCCATCTAATTCGAACTCCTGGAGCCACTTGTTGAAATCAGCTCGGACCTCGCCTAGGTCCTTTCCAGCCTGGATGCCCTTAGGCCTGTCAACGGGCCGGGTCCGGGCCGGAATTGATAGATCCGAACCCGGACCCGTCACACTGTATTAATTTCGGATCCGACCCAAATACCCGACGGGTCTCTTAATCTGTCTCCCGGAACCGCACCCGCCGGGTCCCGGGTCCGGGTCCGGTAAGATTCCAATTCAAGCAGAATATTTCACTAAAAATGTTAGGCAGCTGGCCAGATTATTTAACTTCAATCATCATTAAATCTTAGCCAAGGGTTGGGAGAAAGAAACAGCATTTTGCTTCCTCAAGCATTCAAAAGTAGGATACAAGTTCGTTTAATGTTTGCAAACTGAGGCATACGGCCAATGCCAATTTATGTGAAGGAAGTAAATTTACTCTGAGAGGTTTCAGAAGTGAACTACAAAGAAAGCGTGGCCCAACAGGATCTCACATAATTAGACCAATTAAACTAATCTTGTCGTATTGAAATAAAATTTTAGAGATTTAAAAAAAAAATGAAAATTTCGAGTTTCACATAGCTCACTGCAAAATGCAAAATAATAATGAGTTCACATAGTTGAAGATGCAAAATGCAATCCACACATAGTGGAGGAGTGCAAAATGCAATTAATCCAAAAATTTACTCCAAATAAAAATCCTTTTTTTTTTATTGCCGAAATAGAAATCTGCCACATTTGGGTAAATTAATTACTGCGGACAAACAAGATGACCAGTCTAGAATTGCTATAAGTGCTTCTGATTGAATCAGTGACACGAGGACCAAACAATCCAGAATTCCGTGCTCAACTTTTATAGCTTAAACCATAAGCCGTAAGGCTTACTAGACGAGGAGCATCTACGGAGCTTACATGTGACTGTGAGAAAGAGAGCTTGGCTACTTGAAGCCTGGAAGAGCTGGGCTTCTTTGGAGCTACAACCGTCAGGCGTCAGAGATGGAGAGAGCGTCGCGGGTTTCACGGCGGACTGGCGGAGGCAGCAAAACAGAAACTGCTAGAAGCCTAGAAGAGCTGGGCTTCTTTGGAGCTGCAACCATCAGCGTAGGCGTCAGAAATGGATTTGGCTTCGCCTGTTCCACGGCGGACTGGCGGAGGGCGGAGGCACAGCAAAAGAGAAAAGAGAGTGAGAGGGAGATGTGCGGCTAGGGCATTAGGGTTCGAAAAATTGGGGAAATGAAAGAAGGTGTATGTCTTTTGGTGATTTTTGATAGATAGATTGGTATATTTTTCTAATTATTAATTAATTAAAACGGGTCGGGTCTAATACGGGTCGAAATGATATATCCCGTATTCGACCCGTTTTTCTGTTAGATAAAATGGGTTCGAATCCGGGTCCGGGTCGCGGTTCTATATATTTATTCATACCCGAAAAATATTGACGGGTCCGATTCGGATCCGGGTCCAGACCCGAACCGTTGACAGCCCTAGATGCCCTCGGCCATGCGGTCGCACAATTCCTTGGCATCTTCGTTGTAATAAGGAGCGTTCTGAAGGGACTCCAACTGCTCAGAAGAGAGAAAGGGCGTCGCATCGTGGACAGCCGATGTGTAGCCGAACATGTAACTCGGTAGGATAAGCTCGCCGAGGTCGCGGGTGAAAGCCTCCGACTTCCGGAAGGCCTCCACAGCAGTAACCCCGGCCTTGTCTATGGCCTTCTTGGCCGACTGTTCTTCTTGAGCCCATCTTCCTCTCTCCTCATCGAGGGCAGTAATCAGGGAGTTGTTTGCGATTTCGGCCTTCTTCTTTGCAAGCTCAGCCTTGTCTCGCTCCAGCTCAGTGGTCCTCAGCCTCTCTTCCAGATCGGCGATCTTCTTCTGGAGCTCAGCAGGTGATTCATACGTCTGTATGAAGTGCCCAAAGCGTTGGTGCATTTCAACCAAGAACGCCGTGGTGGAAGCTCAGGAGACCGAGGCGCTCTGCATCAGCTCGGCGGGAGAGAGTTTCCTGGTGTAAGTATTGTCCCGGGGTAGAATTGAATGCACCAGGAGCTCGTGTGCGACTCGGGGATCTTTGCATCGGTCGTTTACGTTTATATCCCACTCCGGACAGTACTGTGCGCCGGAGTGCCTCTTGTCCTCCCCGGCCGCTACAGAAGGCATATGGTGGAGGTTGAACAATGAAGACCCCGTGACGGGGTTCTCCGGGGTGATGGCTGCCGCTCGACCCCGAGGTGGAGAGGCTATAGTCACTCCACGGGAAGGAACTCCCACAGGAATGGCAGAAGATTTGGACTTCCCTCGTGCGCCCGAGGTGTGTGAGCCGTCGCCTATGATCACCACGGCGGGCTCGCAATCGCCCGTTGCCGTAGTGATTTTCTTAGCCGGTCTGGTGGAGGGTTCAGCGGAATCCTTGCGCTTCTTAGCTGCCCTCTTCACCACCTCGAGCCCTCCCGAAATGATCATGTCAGAAACCTTCACCACTGCAAAGAATGAAACAGAGTCAGTTAGAATTCAAGAAAGATAAACAAAGGAGGGAAATGGAAAAGTACATGGTCTCTAGAGCCTAGAAGAGAATAAGATAGAATGATCCGAGCTGATTAAGGCTCGACTGAGCCCGCCTTCCACGAGTACCCTTTCAGGGAAGTCCCAACAATTAATTCTGAGACCCGACCCCAATAGTTTCTTGAGGTTGTGTTCCTCCCACTTGCCCTGGGAGGTTTCTTTTACCGAGGTGGGAGGCCTTCACCAGAACCCCCGAGGAAAGTTCTCGGCCGGGACGAAAATGAAGTTTCTTTTCCACTCCTTTATTGAACTCGGGGCATCATACACCAACTTCGGAACCTTATTTCCGAAGTAGAACCAGCCCTTCTCACTCCCGCTGTTCTTAAGCGAGTAACATCGGCGGAAGAGGTTGACCGTGGGCTCTATCTTTTGATGTCGGCAGAGCAACTGGAAGCCGACAAGAACGCGAATCGCGTTAGGGGTGAGTTGAGTGATTCTCACCCCCCAATACCTAAGGCAGTCACGAAGAAATCTCATTGTTAGCACTCTGAACCCGGCCTCCAGTTGGTCTACATAGATAGCCACCCTATCCTTCGGTGGCAGGGCGGCTGACTGTTGTGGTTGGGGTACATAAATGCTGTAGTCCTTCCTCCAGGGGTACTTACGGACCACCTCGGCTACGGAGGCTTGCCCCATGCTACTGCTGAAACTCGGCATCTGGCCGTAGTTGAGCGTTGCCACGTTCGGAAGAGTGAAAGGTTCTTGAACACCCTCGTCCCTCGGGACCTCATTCCCGAGGTCGTCATTGTACAGGACCTCGGGTTCGACCTCGATTTCCTCGAGCTGTTCCTCCGGAGTCCTGGCCCGATGAGACGTTTCTGCCTGGTGTGAACCCTCGGCTCGGTGAGACGCCTCGGCACCTCCTCCCTCGACTTCAGTCGCTGTTCTCTTTTCGGAGGGGTCGGGCCTCTCTGCCTCGATGAAGTCGGGTCTTACTGTTTCTTTGTGTGTACGAGCTGTTCTAACCATTAGTACAGGAAAAGAAGTGGACTTACTTAGGAGATGTGGGTTGGAGAAATTACTGAAGAAGATGTGGTCTAGTAGGATCGCCGAAGTGAAAAGACACCGGAACAGAGCTCTGAAGTGATTTCAAATTTTGGTAAAAAATGAAACGGTGAAAAGATGCCTCTATTTATAGGCAACAGGGGAAAATCGAAGAGGCGCGACATTTGGGATTCCCTAAAACTTCCTCTCTCTCTCCTCATTAATAAAGGTGCTGTTCATCTGACACTCGATCTTACTGATCCGACGTTAAAGCTGACAGCCCCCGTTTTCACCTCTCTCCTAGTCCCATCTGCACAGTCGTGACATGTCCCTGCTATGTTCCGTGCTCTACACGCTCGTTAGCCTTAGGAAGTGACGACCTCGAGAAACCACGATCTCGCCCTTCTCGAAGCTTGGGGGGCTTAGTGAGGGCGGCCATTTCGGCTCGGCCAGTCCGAGGCCCTATCCTGTGTGGTCTCCTGAAGCCCCACATCGGCACGTTGAATACCAACGCAAATGCAGCCTATTTTACCACTTCGGCTAAGAACTTCGGGTCATACGCCGAAGTGACACCAGAATAATAAACAACTACTGAAGGCGGGAAAGGGCGTCTGACACAGGTCATTGGAATGATAAAAAGCTGCTCTGACACCTGCCCTCCGCATCTGACCAC